GAGTGGAGACCACCTGGCTGATAGGATATGGTGGTAACTCAACTGGCCCCAAGATCAACCCTCCCCTGAGACCAGTTGAAATGCTACAGATGCAGAGGGATAGGTCACTTTGCATCAGTTTGTGCAACTCCAGCTCCGAAACCCAAGTCAGAACTACCACCCAGGGCGTGACCGGAACGAGACCCAGATGTGCTGACGATAAGTCCCAAAAAGTCCTCCAGGTTGTAGAGGCCCTTCCCCACCCAGTCAAAGGGGAGGGATTCCAGCTGATGACCAATCACCAGGACCCTATGACAGTGAGGACGAGGGAGAAAACGACCGGATGGTGAGTGAACTTATTTACCCTTTCGTCTTCCCAATACATCTCACAATCCCCAAAACAAGGACTCTGGCCATGTTTGAAGCCCTAATAGACTCAGGCTGCATTAGATGTTTGATTAACTTACCCACAGTCCTGAAACTGGGGATGAGAGCGAAAAATTGGCCCACCCAATTAAGTTTGAGCAGGTTGATGGGTCCCTATTGGGGGGGGCATGCCTCCATCTGACCGAACCAGGCTAGAGCTAGCGGACCACTGGGAATCAATTTGATTCATAATAGTTCCCAAAATGGCAGAGGTGATCACACTGGAGCTCTCATGGCTAGACAAATGGGGCCCGACCATTTGGTGGCAAAGGGGAAACAGAGGCTAAGGATAGCTAGAGGCCCCCAAACCCCTCCGTACCAGCAAATAAAGTTATTGCCCACACAGGAAACTCCCCATAGAGCCCCACCAAAACAACTGGTGGTCACCTCTGAACAAACCCCAGAGTCTGAATGGATCCCTGTAGAATACCAGAATTTTGCTGAAGTGTTTAGTGAAACTGAGTGCGATGTCATACCTTCCCACCACACAATGGACTGTGCCATTGAAAGCATCCCCGGTGCCAAGCTCCCCAAACTGCATGCCATGGGAAATGAAAGAAATGTAAAAATACATAGACAAAAACCTAGCAAGAGGGTTCATTGAGCTGGCCAAGCCATGAGTCGCAGCTCCAGTCCTATTTAAAGAGAAAAACAATGGAACTATGAGATTATGGGTGGATATCAGGGGGATTAATGGCATCTGCATGCACAACCTATACCCTCTCATGAAGGACATGCTGTCCCATTTTGGCCAAAGGGAAGGTCTTTACTAAACTAGATTGCAGAGAAGCATATTACCAAGTCCAAATCAGGGAGGGAGACAAATGGAAAACAGCTTTCAACTGCCCCCTAGGAAGCTTTTAATTCAAAGTAATGCTTTTTGGGCTGCAGGGGTCCCCAGTGGTGTTTATGCAGCTAATAAATGAACTGCTACATGAGCATCTCTATAAGAGGGTCCTCGTCTACCTGGAGACATCTTCATCTTTACTGAGACCATAGAGGACCACATACCCCTAGCTTGAAAACCTTTTGCAGCAAACTTATATGTCAAGCTGTCAAAGTGCGAATTTCATTGCTTGTGGCTAGACTACCTGGGCTACTGAGCGTCAAATGAGGGGATAGAGATGGACCCTGATAAAATACAAGCCTTCCTAGAGTGGCAGCCCCCTCACACCCGTAGACAGTTACAAAGTTTCCTGGGATTCGCAAACTTTTACAGGCAGTTCATCCCCCCCCCCCCCATTGCAAAAATTGCCAAGCCCTTGACAGACCTCCTAAAAACAGGGAGGCCAGGGATGAAGCCCAGTCTGCGGCAACCCCTACAGTGGGACCTAACTTTCCAAGAGGCATTTAGGACACTAAAAAGCTATTCACAAAAGAACCTTTATTGGAACATCCTAACCCCGAACAACCCTTCGTCATACAAGCAGATGTCAGTGACATGGTGGTGGAAGCCATTTTACCCTAAATAAATTGTCAGAGAAAACTACAACCTTGTGCCTCTACCTCCTGTAAACTCACTGACACGGAAAGACGATGGGCAGTGTGGGTAAAGGAGGCTTTTGCAGTAAGATGGGCATTACTAACCTGGGCCACCTTTTGGAAGGGGGGGAGAGAGAAACCGTTTGAAGTCTGGACTGACCATAAGAATCTGGAGGCCCTTAGAACACTGCAGAAACTATTGCTCAAACAAATCTGCTGAGCTCAATACTTCAACTGATTCAACTTCGTGCTAAAACACATCCGGGGGGGGGGGGGGAATTTCCCAGCTGACACACTCTCTCGCATGCCCCAATACAAATGCGGGCGGGAGGAGGTAGTAGATGCCATCAGTCCCCTTCCCTAAGCCATGGCCCAAGTGACCACCCACCAACAACTCCACAACCAGCAAGACCAACTCGCAAGCCTTCGAACCATGAAACTCAAAACCAAACTAGAAGCAGACCCCTGGTTCCGTGACAACCAACACATCTTGACAAAAAGGGAGGACCTAGTATGGAAGGGGGCGAAACTTTATGTCCCCGAGTCCCTGTAGACCTCAATCCTCCAGAGAAGCCATAATGTCAAATCAGTGGGCCAATTTGGATTCTTAAAAACTTTATACACTTAGTGAGGAGACAATTCTGGTGGCCTGGCATGAAGAAAGACATGGACAGTTATGTAAAAAGCTGCACCATCTGTGCCTCTATGAAAAAGAGACCAGGAAAGCCTCCTGGTCAGTGGCAGAGCATCCAAGCACCAATGGGGGGTAGAGAGACTTAACACCATTGTAGAACAGTACCTCAGGTACTACGTGAACTACCAACAGTCCAATTGGGTAGACTCTGCCATTCACAGAGGTTGTTTATAATAATGCTGTACACAGCAGCACGGGATTAACCCCTTTCAAGATAGTAAGTGGTATGGACTTTGTCCCAATGCCGGAATACCCAAGGGAAGCTCCTTCCTGTCAGTTTAACTGATTGGCTGTCAACGCTAAAAGCGGCATGGGAAAACATCAAGAAAGCACTAGCTAAAGCGGCACAGACCTATAAGCAACAGGCAGACAAACATCAAACCTCACAACGGCCGTTTCAGTTGGGGTGTACCACTTCACAAAATACTTAAGGTTAAAACGCCCCAGCAAGAAGCTGGGACCAAAATTAATGGCCATTCCCCTTAGTAAAGATTATCAACTCAGTCATGGTATAATTGAAACTGCCCTGACTGCTGGGAAAAATACATCTGGTATTCCACAGCAGCCTCTTGAAACCAGTGGTCAGGTTGATCCTGAGACCATCCTATGAGCCCCTGGATCCAATGATCATAGGAGGCCAAACCCATTACGAGGTGCAAGTGAAGGGTTACCCTCTATCGGAGGTATCCTGGGCACAGAACAGAAAAATCAGGCATGATATTCCCCTCTGAAAAAAAAATCGGGGCCGGCCAAAAGAGACCCCCCCACCGCGCGCCAAGAAATCGCTGCCCAGCTCCCTTTTCCTGCCGCTCAGCGGCCTCCGCTCGCACCGCCCGGGCTCTGCTCGCACCACCCGGGCTCCGCTCAGGTATCCGGCTGGGGCTGTCAGGAGTTGCTACCGCCGGCGCGGCTCCGCGCGGCTCCAGTCCCGCGTTGCCTCGGGAAGTGAAAGGCAAAACCAGGAGCCGCTGCTGCCATTGCAAAGCGCCGCCGCGGCTCTTCCTTTTTGCCTTTCCCTTCCTGAGGCAACGCGGGACTGGAGCCACGCAGAGCCACGCCAGCGGTAGCAACTCCTGACTTGGGGCCTCCGGGGGGAGGGGAAGGAGGAGAAGAAGGGGGGGGGGCGATTCCCAAAAAAATCAGAATTCCGATTTTAATCGGAAGAATATCATGTCTGAAAATCCAAGCTTACCACCTCATAGCCAGATTCCATGAAAAGAACCCAACCAAGCTTGGGGGGGGGGGGAATCATACCCTTAAAAGATATATCTGTACTAAAATTATTTTTGCTCAGCATAGGTTGCCTTCAGTAAGTGAGCAAGGCCGAATGTCAACTTGTGAAGCTTTCCTGGCCTGCTCCCGAGTTGCCATAGGCAGGGGGATGGGAAATCGTGCCTCGCAGCTGCATCAAGAAATTCACACCTCAGTCAAAACAAAACGTATCCTAGCCGTCCGAAGTCAAGGCCATCTCCACGGAGACCTACAATGGCTGGAGGGAGTGACCTACGACCCACAAAATTGCTTCATTGGGGAATGTGACTGGTGACACACCTTGTGGGGAGGGGGCAATAAGAGGCAAGGTGCAAACTGGGTGAAGTCAGAGCTGGATTCACCTAGGTTGTACCGACATGGCACACCTAATAAACATCTGGATTTTTTTCTTGCACAATGGCTTGAGGCTCCTGATTTTATTAAGAGCATTGGTTGGAACCCTGACAAAATCCATATTTGCCAAAATGTATTTGTTTGGTTCTTATCAACCAAATCTTTATTATGGTTACATACTAGCATAATATTGTTTTCATTGTATGTTTGGTGTTTGGATTTTTAGAGGAGATGTTTACATTAAGATTACAATAAGAGAGGTATGATGGCAAACATTTTAGGAACCCCTGCTCTAAGATCAATTTATCTAAAGGATTTCCAGAAGCTGGACATTACTGGCTTTGTTAGGATATCATATTACCAGGAGAGTTATAATTGAAAGTCTATATTGTACTTAAGTTCATTTCCTTTTTAATATATTTATCCACTCCATCAATACTTTACTACAAAAACATGCAGCTTTGATTTGATATCTTCACTTTTCTGCAATTGTTATTCAAAGCATTTTATGATCAAGATCCCTGGCATTCTTCAAAAATAAATCTATTGTAGTGACACAACATTTTTTGAAAGAGCTCCTAAAATTACAGATAATTGCTCATTAATTACTAGAGCAGATGAAGGCAACCTCAGCAGCTTTTAATCTCCAAGTTTGCTTCCAGTGATTGTTTGTCTATAATTACTCAAAATTATTAGCATTATTTCCTGTGAAGTGAAAAATATTTCTACCCTCTATGCTCCCTTTATTCCTGAAAAATATTTAAAACAGCACTTGGTAACTAAAGTTTGTCCCACTTTATACTACAGGAATTACCTTAGTGAAGACAGCTAATGGCATACCATACTGATCTTCTTCCAAACCAGAAATAAGTCCAGGTACAAGGACTGTATGTCCTGTATTAGGTTGAGGCTGAACAATAATTGGAACACTTTTGGAAATCACTGACTCCTTCGGAAGAAATTCAGTCTGTCCTGCTACTGAAGTAATTTCACATTCCCCTCCTTTCAAGTTAGGATCCTCTAGGAGATTAGGATCTAAGGTTTCCCAGTCACTTTCAGAAGATTCTGGAGAAGTGGGTAAAGAAGGTTTCCAATATTGTCCATGATCCTGGCAGACATGTAATTCACTAGATTGATGCTCAACTTGAAATAAAGGTACATCTGCTCTCTGGGTATCTCTTTCTTGGTTGCCTTCCCCAACTGTGTCAAAATTAGCATTTGAAAGTGCCAGAGCGGACAAAGAAACAAAGTAACTGGAAGGAGGAGAAACTTCTTGTCCAACTTCCTCTGATGTGCTTTTTCTTGGTCGGTACTGTGAGCAATCAGTAAGACCATGTTCTATCATACCTGGAATTTATTTAAAAAATGAGATTAATATATTCTATATAGGAGCAATCACCAATTTATATTGGAAACCATGCTAAGATGAAAACTACAGTTAATTGCAAAAATACAACACACCCATGATTCTTTCTAGTCTTTCAGAAAGTTATTTTTCAATGAAGAAAATAATCTTTGGTGTAACTGAGTCGGTGTAGCAGAGTTTGGAGATAATTTTAATGAAGGAACATCAGAATTGTTGTAAGAACAATCCTTTATTCTGATTGGTGTAGAAGGCATATGATAACTTTCAAGCTAGATGCCTTTCAAGTATGGTAGAGTTCCAGAAATCCTTGTGTTATTTATACCATAACCTGGCTTGTCTTGAAGGACTGACAGCACCTGTTACAAATTCCTCAAATTTTCCACTTATATAGAATTCTCAGGCTGTTTATATTAAGATAGAGAGTAGAGCACTGAATAAATGTTTATGCAGGTGCTTCTCTTGTAAAACAATCTAACAGCTGGAGACTGAAGTTGAAAGAGACAAGATTGCTGTGACCTTGGATTATATTGTTGAAACTTGTTAAAACTTTGATATTGTGCCTTGGACAGTATATGGTGGCAGTAATTTACTTTGTGACTCATTCTTAAATTACAACTGAATCTTTTTCTTCTTTTTTTTTTGTTGGTGGGTGGCCAATCTTGGCCTACTTTGTTCTTTTTTAGGCTTATTCAAGTTATTAGCCTGTTTATAGCCTCACTGTTGGAATATAACCCTCCCCCTTTTAATTTTTTTTCTTTTTTTTCTTTTTCTCTTTTAAACTACTGGTGGATTTATCTTACTATTTTTCTTTCCTTTTTATATATACTATTTTTAAACATGGTGTTTTTATATTTTCTTCTTTTTCTTTATCTTCACATTTTTACAACCCAGCTTCTTTTCCTTTTTTTATTGGCTCTCTGTTCTCCTGGGTTTTTTTATTGTTCCCCTTTTTTAAATTTTTTTTTTCTTCTCTGCAACTTTTTCTCTCTCCCCCCCCCCCCCCCGATAATTGGATTAGAGTAAAGAAGAACCCGAAGAAAATTGTTTTTGGTGTTGTACACTGAAATTTTTGACTGGGATTACAATTATTCAAAGATGAAGAAGACAACCTCCTCTCTCAGCCCAAATTCTCAGTGGTCACTTCGCACTATGTTACAGCAAGAGAAAGAAAAAGAGAGGGAGAAGGAAAAGGGAAAGGAGGTTACACTACAAATGATAATGCAAGCAATACAAGAACAAGGGAAACGAATGGAAAGAATAGAAGAGAGAACAGAGAAAACAGATGAGAAACTAGAGAACATACAACAAATGATGATGAAGAATGAAGAGAGATTTCAAAAAATAGAACAAAAAGGAGACCAGACAGATAAAAAAATTGGAGAAATTGATAACAAGCTGACAGTGGTTGAACAGGAAAAGGGAAGAGGAATTCTGGCCTGGGAGATGGACAGAGCAGATTTTTATCTCAGATTTCAAAATATAGAAGAAAAAGGAGAAAATCTTGCAAAAATAATGATAGAAGTGCTGGCAGGAGCCTTGAAGATATCTAAAGAAAAAATGATGGATGGAATAGATAGTGTTCCGAGTGTATACAAGATATGCTATGAAAAACAAATTGCCTTGAGAAGTCCATGTAAGATTCACTAAGAAAGCAATAAAAACACGAATATTACAGAGTGCAAGGGATGACCCATTGAAATATAAAGGAAAAGAGATTACGGTCCTAAAACAAGTACCAAGAAAAGTGAGAGATTGAGAAGAGAATATTAATTCTTGATGAAAATTTTAATTAAGAAGGGAGTGAATTATAGATTCCAGAAGGCTTAATATTTACTTGGCAAGAGCAAAGACACAGATTGGACTCAACAGAGAAAGCAGAATTATTTTATGGAGAATATTTCAGAGGAAAAGAAGAGGAGAGAATACGAGACGAGGAAATAGTTAAACTTCAAGAGGAAATGGTTAAAGTAAGAGATAAAGAAAAAAGAGATGAAAAGACACGAGAAGAGGGAGCAGTAGGTGGAAGGGTGGAATTAAAAGAAGTAAGAGAGCAAAGAACAACGAGAGCAGTAAACCCTACATATAGAGTATAAACAATGGAAGAAATTGATTACAATAAATATAAATGGACTGAATTCGGACATCAAAAGGAAAAAACATTCCTTAAATTAGAAAAATTAAAACTAGATATAATCTGCTTGCAAGTAGTTCATATTAAAAAACAACATGTCCAAGTACTGAAATATCCTATAATTGGGAATCTATACACTTCATTGGTGCAACAAAATAAAAGAGGAATAGCTTTATACATTAAGAATATAATTAAAGTTAAATTAATTTTTACAGATGAAGAAGGAAGAATATTGATGGTGGAAATAATTGATAATAATCTAAAGATGCTTCTAGTACCAATCTATGCTCCAAATGAAAAGCAAGAAGAATTCTATAAAAAATTGCACAAGAAAATAAGAGAATTGGAATATGATTATTTATGCACCTTGGGAGATTTTAATGCAATAGTGGACACAAAGTTGGATTATAAAACAAAGAAAGTTAATAAACAAAATAGAAAGATACTCCTGAAATCCTTCTTCATGGTAGAGGAAATAAGCATTTGAGATGTTTGGAGAGAAATGAATGCTAAGAATAGACAATATACATTCTCCTCCAACAGACATTTATCATGGTCAAGAATAGAGACGATTTGGATGTCAACAGAATTAATCTCTAACATACAAGTAGTAAACATAGAAACAAGTACTTGGGCGGACCATAACCCAATATGGGTCAAGTGGCAGGAACAAAGGAAAAGATCAAGATGGACTTTGAATAACTCAATAGTGAAGGAAAAAGAATTTATACAAAGTATGGAAAAAGAACTGGCTTTTTTCTTAAAAGAAACAACAACAGGGAGGAAACTTCATTACAAAATTTATGGGATACCATGAAGGCCTATGCCAGAGATCTGATTATAAATTACATGAGAAGAAGGAACATTAAAAAAAGACAAACGCAACAAATATTAGAAGAAAACTGCAAGAAACTTGAGAAAGAACTACAAAAATATCCACAAAAGAAGAATATTAAAAGTCAAATGGAAATAGTTAAACATAAAATGGGGTTGATGGAAAAAAAGGAACTAGCACAAAAAATCAGGAGAACTGAACAGAACTTCTTCGAAAATGCAAACAAATCAGGCAGATGGCTGGCATATAAACTGAAAAAGGAGAGAGAAACAAAAAAGATGATACAATAGATGAGCATGGAATGGTTTGTAATGGAAATGAAGAAAAAAAAGAGATAGTACAAAAGTACTATGAGAAATTATATGATCAAGAGAATATCGAAGAATAAGTTAAACAATATTTGCAAAAAGCAGAGCTACCCCAAATACCCGAGGACATTAAGATAATGCTAGAAGAGAAAATAACAATGATGGAACTGACAGAGGCGATAAATAGACAAAATACTGGAAAGCTTCCAGGCCCAGAATTCTATAAGACTTTGCAGGAATCCTTAAGCCCATGACGGTGAACCTATGGCACGCAGAGCCATTTGTGCAGGCATGTGAGCCCCAGGCAAACTTACCTCACTGCACATGCGCGCACCTCCCAGCTGATTTTCGGGCCTTTTTTGGCTTGTCAGAGGATTGAGGGAAGCCTCTTCCGGCTTTGAAAGCTGAAAAATAGGCCTGTTTCATCACTTCCTGTATACCGGAAGTGATGAAATGGGCCCATTTTTCGGACTGCAAAGCCTGCAGAGACTTCTCTCAAGCCTCTGGCAGGCCGAAAAAGGCCTCAAATGGGCCGAAAATCAGCTGGGAGGTGCAGTGCAGGTAAGGGTGGGGGGAATCACACATGCGTGCTCAGGGGGTATGGGGGCCCCCACGTACATTGTCTTCTGGGTGCTAGCACACGAGTGTGCGCACACAAGTGTGAGCACAATTTTTGTCACAGGAGCCCAAAAAGGTTAGCCACCACTGCCTTAAGCATTACAATGCTTGAAGTAATGAATGAGGTTTTGTCAAAAACTAAAACACCTAATTCATGGACAGAGGCTTATATTATTCTTACACCAAAAGAGGATACTGACTTACAACAAATAAAAAACTATAGACCTATATCCCTGCTGAGTGCAGACTATAAAAAAATTTGCCTCAGTAATGGCAGACTTAAAAGATATTTGAACCACTTTATACACTCTGATCAAAATGGATTTCTGCCTAAGAGGCAAACTAAAAGGCAACACGAGAATAATCTTGAATACATTGGAATATTATGAAAACACCCAAGGAAGCAAATGGCCTTGGTATTTTTAGATGCACAAAAAGCCTTCGACAATGTAAATTGGCAATTTATGTTATTGCAAATGGAAGTGATAGGCTTTGGAGAAAGCTTCATTAAGGCAATTGAGACAATATACTGTGTTATAAACAATCTGCAAAAGTAATGATAAATGGAGATTTGACAGATATTAAAATTAAAAAAGGAACTAGGCAAGGATGTCCTCTGTTGCCACTGCTGTTTATATTGACTTTGGAGGTATTAAATAGAAATATTAGGGATAATAGAGAAATAAAGGGAATGAAAATAAAAAAGAGGAATATAAATTACAAGCATTTGTAGATGATCTGGTCTTCATATTGTAGGAACCATTGGAAACAGCACCTAAATTGATAGAAAAGATCGAAGAATATGGACAGGTAGCAGGACTAAAAATAAATAAAGATAAAACTAAGATTGTAGTTAAGAATATGATGGAAAAACAAAGGAAAGAATTAACAGACAGACTGAACATCCAGATCACAACAAAGTAAAATATTTGGGAATACAATTAACAGCAAGATGTGGAACATTAAAGGAAAATAATTATTATAATTTAAAACAACAGATTGCAACAGATTTGAAAAAATGGGAAAATTTACAATTATCTCTGATAAAAAGAATATCTACAATCAAAATGAACATACTACCAAGGATAT